CCCCACGATTAAGCACGAATAATTCTGGTCTCCCTTCACGAGTAGCATTCATCATACCCATCCACCATACCTGAGCTCCATATGATACATTCTAAGTTAGGTTGATAAGTACAGCAGCTAGAGTGGAATTTTTGAAGGCATTGCAGATACCTTATACAGTAGCTTACTCTACGCAATCATGGTACAAGTTAGTAACGATCTAAAGGACTGAACCGACTTCCGGAAAGTTTCGTGCTTTTCCATATAACTTATCGAAGCTGGGATAAAGCTTTATGGCCCATGCCACGGGGAGGATTCATAGTGTTCTGCTGAAGGGCCCGGGTTGGAAGTTTCTTATGCTGTTCTGTTGAATAGCGTGGATAACTTATTTTTATTTTTTTTATATAAAGAGGTTCTTGGGGAGTTAAGTTAGTTGTCATCTTCAGCGTATTCCCATAATATTATACTGCTCCTCCGATTTATGGCGGAATCATGGTTTCTCACTCGCTTCTGGTGATTGGTTCCGGGTGGGGTTCGTGTTGAATGTGGGGGTGGTATATATCATACTATGCGCAGGGAGTACTGGCATTGGGGTAGCTTTACAGAGGTACGGTTGGAGAAATCTGGGTGGGTGGTGAAAGGTGGGGGGATGAGAAGTTTGTGAGCGCTTAGGTTTTGTGCAGTACGGATTATGCCGAGGTTGCTTTTATAGTGCAGGACAGGAGACAGACAGTCTACTTAAACTTAAAGTAGGGGTTGTACTGTATATAGTCACCTAGTGATGGTAAATTGGAATGGCAATAATAGGAATATCCTCAGCCCTGGTGCTCGTAAGTATGATACCATCCAAGTTTCCCTGGAAATACTAACCATACAGTAGTCTATTCCCACATCCACCCAGACGTTCGGTACTCCCGAGCCGCTCCTGCAGTAAACCCGGGAACCTTACTGACAACTATAATATTACCACACCCTTCCACTGTATGTATTATAGCACCATGATTGTTTTTTCTATTACCCCACCTGAGTACACCCTGAAACGTGAGCTTCCGCGGTTAACTTCTGTTTGATAGAAAGATCTCTGCACGTTCGGCTACTGGCGCTAGAATGCTAATGTATGTATGTAAGGCAAAATAGTGCAAGCAGTGCTTTTACTGTGGCGCTGGTTTTGTAGCTGTTTTTATGGCTGGAGTTTTATTTGGTAAGGTAGGGGATATGGTAACAGTACCTGGCGCCCGGAGGGGGGGGGGTAATTACAGTACTTGTGGGAATTTGGACCGGTTGTGGTACTGACTTGTTGGAAAAAGGGGGGGGGGGGGTTGTTTTACTTGATTTGGAGGTGACTTGCTGTCTCGGGTCCTTCTTTCCTACTTTTCGGCTTTTTCATTTTCTCTCGTTCGCTCCTTCTTCCTTCTTGAGGGTGTGTCGTCTATCTTTTCTTGCTTTCCCTCTTTCCTTCTTACTCACTACCATTTCTTTACCTTGTTCATGTCATCGGAGGTGGATCTTTCCAGTATAGATAAGTTGTAGGATGTTATTACGGAGTTTAGGGTTGGTGGTACTAGTGCTTGGAAAAGTGTGCGCCGAGGTACCGGATCCCCGGAAGGATCTTGTACAGATTGCGAATGCTCAGAGTAGGCATTTCTTTCCTTAGGCTTAGCCTGAATCATTTGCTAAATGAGCACTTTTGTGCAGGCGTTGTGGTTGGAAACTACTTTTATACTGTGGGAGGATACGCTACGTTCAACGTCCGGGATGGCTTCCCGCTGGGGACTAAGAACCCGGCTTGGGATGGAACAAGGATAATTACTTCGAGTATGCTCACCTCAACTTAACCATATCTTGTGCTTACACTACCGTTCTTACCAGATGACCATTTACGAAGAATAGATCTAACCAGACCTTTCTCCGTGAACAAGCTCGACACAGTACAGGAACAGACCATACCCCTTAGTGACGCTGTCCCCCGGATGCGCTTTGGGAGTATATGGGCTCATAATACAATTATCTACCTTGGCTCGAGTGACCTGGAAATATATTCACTGCTCAGAAACGGCGTGTGGTCGAATGAACCCAGGAAAGTCCCGACGAAGGATGTGTGGACGTATGATACTGCGAACCGGGAAGCTGTGTGGGCGAGTGTGTCTGGTGTGGAGTATAACGGCACATTCAATCCTGTAACAAAGGGCTCTGTGGCATTTTTGGATGGAAAGGCGTATGTCATGGGTGGGACCTACGGCCTCAGCACTACACTAAAGAATCCCGATGGAACGCCGGCGACTCCCGATTTGGCGGAAGTTGAGGATGTCAAGTTGAGCTCGCTGCTCAAGCTGGATGTGGAGAGGAAGGTGTTCATAAATGAGACGAGTTCTATTGGCCATGTGGACTCTGGGAGGATGGTGGCTATTAAGGGTGTTGGGCAGAAAGGGGGTGAGTGGTTATCTTTGAGTTTTCCCATTTGAAAATTCTGACAATTAAATCCAGTTCTGATATATATCGGAGGCGAGAGTTCCAGTGGATATGTACGCAGCTATCTGCCTCATACTATTGCAGTGATGCCATTCAAAGCTAACTTCTCTGAAGAACGACATGTCTACCATTCGAATCTACGACATCGCCACCAGCACTTGGAAGAGCCAAAAAGCAACCGCTAAAGATGGGGACTTTCCCCGTGGGCGCATAGATTTCTGTGCGGTGGTAATGTCGGCACAAGATAACAGCAGTCACCAGATATACTTTTACGGAGGCTACTCCGACGGACCTGGAACTCGTCTCCCACTCGACGATGCATGGGTGCTCACACTACCGTACTTCCAATACCTCAAGGTGGGCAATAGCATCGAAGCTACGAGGATTTCTGGTACCTGCGCCGTCATTTCTCCTCAGTATCTGCTTGCATATAGAGGACGGACGTTCGTGGCGGGCGAACAGGGTATTGAGGGTTTCAATTCACTGGGGGATGCGTCGTTGGCGTTACTGGACCTAACGGACTTGAAATGGAAGACGGAGTATACCCCTGCTAAAGCCTCGATGGTGTATAGGGTTCCGCAGAAGGTTATTGAGACGATTGGTGGGGAGTATGTCCCTCCACCATCTGCTTTTGTGAGAACAGTATGCTAATAGCACGTAGCGAAACTGGCAACGCAACAACCACTACCCCCAAAAACGGCTTCGACGATGAATCCCTCGATAAAATCTTCAATCCCCTAGGTGCTAGAAATTCCACGTCACTCTCACCCTCACCTTCCCCTTCACCATCCACACTAGATTCCGAGTCCCCCATCCCCCCAAAGAAAGGGATAATAATCGGCATCACAATACCCTGCGCTACTATCGCACTCTTGTCTATAGCCGGAATAGTACTATTCTTCCGCCGCAGACAGAACAACAGGCTCCGCGCATCGCCTGAAGAACACGAGCGGGGGCCATGGGGGACACAAGAGGCGGACGGGAACATGGTTTTTCCGGTCATGTACGAACTTGAGGGGGGTGATAGGCCTGCGGTGCACGAGATTGGCAGTGGGTGGATGGGGGTGGGTGGGGAGTTGGAGGGTGGCCATGTGCAGGGGTCATGATTCGGGGGGTTGAGAGGGGGAGGTAGGGATGGGATGGGGAGTTTGAGTCGGAGTGAGAAGGGGGGGGAGTGTTAGGATGGGTGGGTGTATAGTGGCCTTTTTTTTTTGTCCTTTTTCTTTTCTTTGATGATATATAAGGGAGTACGGTGCACATGATGAGTATCTTCCTTTCAATGTTTTTATTTTCTCCAAGTCTGTCTCACTGGTCTGCAAAAACAATGCGAGCAGGTCAGACCATACCATACCGCCTTCGTTGTTGTTTCTTTTGTAAGATATTTCGCCCACTGTGCCTTACTATCACACCTTAGTTAGCATAATATCAAACCCCCGTGCTCGCATGGCCAACATATTTAAACATTTACTACCCAAAGTCTATCACGCTGTATAGTACATGGACGATATCTCACTCCTCCTCCAGGAAAATATATTACCCAGAAGTCGCCAAAAAAGTTAAATCCCCCATCGATTACCCCGGAAGCTTCCCAACCAACCAACCAACCAACCACCCACTCACCCACTCACCCACTCACCCACTCACCCACTTACTCACTCCTCGCCATTCACAGGAGCTTCGGGAACAACCCCAGAGCTGGGAGATATCCCATCTGCAACCGGAAAACGCTAGGATGATGGAGAAAGTTATTTCTGACGCATATATACACCTTTGCCCTCCCCACCTAGTTTAATATCGCGAAGATGTGCGGTCACGCTTCTCTCACAGATCCAATCATATTTGGTGAAATGCGGTAGAATACCCGACTCCCTTCTGTGGGGGATTTACTTCGTGAAGGGCTCAGCAGAAATTGGTTCTTGTGGGGGTTTTAGAGTTGGGTCCAGCATATCCACCCATCTCCATTTCTATCGCCCATAGGTTTGCGCTGGCACAGTGAGTGGCGAATTACTCGAGTCTCGCGTTAGCGTAAATTCGTTGCTTGGGGATGTGTGTTGTCGGAAGTTGGGGGTTTCGTCGGGCGGACTGCTCTTGGGGAATCGGGGGGGGGAATGCGGTGTGGGTGGGGTGCGAGGATTGAAGTTTGCGAGTGAGGGTCTGTGATTTCGTGATTCGCGGGGATGTGGTTGAGAGTAGGGGGGTAGGAGTGTATGATAAGGGCGGGATATTTGGGGGGTGTGAGGTGCGGTTAAGAGAAAAATCGGGGATTTTTTTTGCTTGGTTATCTTGCCTTTTCTGGGGGTGTTAATATGTTGTCTGTCTGTCTGTAGTACAGTACACTAATGCGGAAGCCATCCTAACCTAACCTTATCAACTCTCGGTGGCGTCGACGATTTAATATTCCCCTCTCTCTCTCTCCTTTCCTACAACACCTTAAAGAAAGTTCCACAAGAAAAAAAATGAAAAAAATGAAGCAGAACGGGAGCTTGCTTTCTTTCAGCTTAATGATTATCGGGAGGAGGGAGGAAAAATTGAAAGACAAAAAAATTTACCTAAACCCAACGTGGGGGTCGAACCCACAACCTTCAGATATCGATCGTTTCCAGGGAACCTAGAAGTCTGACGCGCTACCATTGCGCCAGCCGGGTGGCTGTTAATAAACCTTCAAAAGGTACGTACATAAAATCCCCCCCCCCGATTGGTAATTTAACATGACTGCAGTGTGTGTGTGGGGGTCTTGGCGCGAGGGCATGAGAGGTGTTTTTCTCGTCTTCTCTCACCTTCGAAGCGGGGGGTAGGTTAATGTTCTGCTTTAATACTATTAATAATTTTTACCTTGATTGAAAGGATATTTGCAAAATTATCCCTGCCCGCATCTTGCGGACTCGAGTCTCTAGCTACCCTTGCGGAATGGAAAGAAAATGCTGTACACGAGTGATAGGAGATGAAAATCATGAATACCGACACAGTAATATGTACTAGTACAACCGAAAGGAATCAAGTGTGAGGAAATGAGTTGGGATAAATGGGCACTTTTTAGTTGTAAGCAGGTGACAGTATCTAGTTTTGGTTGTATATGAAGTCTTGGATTGGCGCCTTCACGTTTTCCGAAACGATTATGTATTGTACCCTCATTGCTGCCCTCAAGACCGGCGTTGGACTTACATCTCCATCGAGTCCGGGCTGACATCTCAATGGTTGACCAATTATGTCTGCGGCTTTCTTAACTCCTGGGTTAGCAGGTTGAAATTTAAGGTGTAGTGTTCGGCTGTTGTCGAGCTGCTCTCTATTTCGGCAGTGAATGACTGGTTATCTGGCTCCATCTGGATGGACTCAATTCCACCGACTTCTAATGTCCGGGAACTAGCACACCTGCAGTATCATACCGTAAATCAATGTCTAACTTGGATCGGCACAAAAAATAATAATTTAAAACCAAGAGGCCTGTTCACTTGATGAGTTGCTCACTCCGTACAAAAGGGAAAGAAAAAGAATTCAAAGACCAGTAATGGAGTGGATTCTATCAAGGAGCGGGCAAAGTCTGTTATAATGAGCCGGCGATAGGCTACAGTAGACACTGGTATGTGATGGGTAAATGATGCAAGTGACAAAATGTGCGGTTAAATTTACTACTGTATGTCGGTAGACTTGGGAATTTGGAAGAATTGAATAAATTGAGAGTGTATTTTGTCTCAAAGGAATTTGCGTCAATCAATTAATCTATCATCCCCACCCGATCAGATACCCACTTCCCCGCACACTCCACAGCTCTCTCGGGCCGGCCCTTGTGCGGTAGAGGGTATCTTTGAATTTACATGGGGGAGAATACCTCCTGCGGCAGTCTTTGTAAACTTGGCTGGAAGCTCCACCAATAACTTCTCCTTCGTGGCGAGCTCTTCGGCAATGCACTTCACTTCTAGTACTTTGAATCGGTGGGTGTTCGTGTTAAAGGTGGCGTGTACGGAACGGAGGCTCTTGATGATTGCCTGTACATAGGCGTCTTGGTTCACAGAGGGGATGTTGTGATAGCGATGTTCAAGTTTGAGCGGAGGATAGGCCTGGAACTTGTTTTAGAGGTAGGACGCTCTTGTCATCTCATTGTCGGTTCTTTCCTACCTGGCCACCTCCTTCATAACTGCTAAGATTTGAGACTTCTGACTTCCCTTCTTCATGAACGCATCCAGGTACCGTCATTCCAATGATTGAAACATCAAACTCCAATCCGATAGTATGGTATAAGATGTTTCTTTCAGGACTGTGTTCCTGTTGTACGACAGGTCTTGGTTCGGACTGGTAGTTGTTGCTTTCGTTGTCTCTCTTGTTCTCTTGTTCTTCATGTACCGGTATGTTCTCTTAGGGGATCTTTGTTTGGCTGTTTCGTTGCTGAGGGTGTCCGGAACAGCTGGTGTATATGGCATTCCTGGAATGCCTTGATAAATACCTGAGCTATTCCTGGCCTTGGTGACTTTGTATCGAATGACCTTATTCTCAAATAAGTCTCTACCAAAACTATGAGTACACTACCATCTCCAAATCCTGCGAGCTATTGTGCATTGCTACATGGGCAATGGTGAATGGGATGAGGGAGGATCTGTGAGTTTTGTAAAGAATTCTCTTTAATAGCGAGTTATCACACCATTGTACATGTAAGAAACCTCCACAGCCTTGGTATGCATAACCCTCGGGGGTCACCCAACAAGACTATTGGAGAAAAAAGAAAAAAAATCAAGGGTATCATCGATCATGAACTCTATCCACAAACGTATAAGCCCGGAAGATACTTCCGGGTATCCGAATCCCCAAACAAGTGGGGGGTAGGCTTTTGCTCAATCCCAATCCCATTCTCAGGTTCGGTGTTAGTCTGCGGGACGTCTTCGTCATTGCCAGGCATCCCCAAGGGATCTTCCAGATTTCCACCGCTTCCCCCCCAACTCCTGCATTCTTCCACTGATCCTCTGACCCTCTAGAAACATGGCTGTTCGAACCCTGCAATTGAATGAGTGATATCTCATGCCTCACCCAGGCCCTCCCTAAACTCATTCAGGTAAATACTTCACTCAATCAAAACCTACGCTATACTAGGGAACTGACTCAACCAGTTCACCAACCACCAAGGTTCAGAATGTTTTAGCTGCGAGGGGAATAGGCTGTATGGATGTTGGAGAAAATTGGAATAAGGTGTAATGGGATGGTGTTTGATGAATAATAGTTGTTTATTCGGTATAGACTTTTGCCAAAGTTGTTGAAAGGTTATCACGAGAGCAGTGATAGAAGTGGATGAATGTTGGGTTAAGGTCAAGATGTTTGTTATTGCTTAGAGAGAGAAAAAGAAGGGAGAGAAAAGAGAAGAGAAAGGAAGCGATGCCTAGAGAGAGGCTTATGCACAAGAGGGTGACGCAAGCAGTCATAGAGTGTCACTCGTGACTGCAGTAACTAGGAGAGCACAACCACAAATTCCAACAAAAGTACTGCATACATACCGTAATACTGCTCTTGGTAGTATTGATAAAATTGTGGGAAACACATAGGATTCCTGCCTTATAGAACTTCGTATAAGATTAGCAGAAAGGGCTTCCCAATATCTACCAAAATCAAGTCTGTAGCTTGGAAAAAGCTGGGGTTGACGGCGAGGGAGATGCTGTGATAACCTGTTGATGTTAAATCCCTCCGGGGTGGGGGGTTTGTATGGAAACGGCAGTATAGACTCTTGTGTCTTTTGTTGATAGATATCTTAAGAAACTAGGATTCTCCCACACACACTCTGAGCTGCTGGCTCGTAAAGCCATGTTTTTCTCTAAAGGCGAAGTTTGATTACAGTACTGCATGCATGGCACATAAGTGGCATAGATTACGACCAAAAGACCTGGGCTACATATAGGATGCGTTTTGCCGGTCTTGGTCATGTATTTAAAACCGTTCATTTCCTATAACTCGGAGCACCTTACACCAGTAGTCTCTCCCAGTCCGCAACCCAGAGATTTTCCTTTTTCCATAATGAATGGCATCAAAATGCGCCCGAAAACTAGGATTCAAATTCTAAAATACAAGCAGACAAGTGCTGATCTAAATTCTAGCTATAATACACTCACCCTATCTTACATATTCCCTCCAACCTCATCCAGTCCTCGGCCTCGTCTCCGTAGTAGTGGCACTCCTTCCCTCAATCTTAATGTTCAGAGGACTCTTCGCCTTGATGAATCGAATAATCGCATCCTCTATGCGCTCATGCTTAATCACGCCAGCCTGCTTCTCACTACATCGCCCACACTTATCAGCAAAACACACAACTTAACCCTGGGGAGTTGAGAAAAACAGGAGAACATACAAATAACTATCCCCGCCATCTGCCAAAAAGTCCAGTGTAACAATCTTATAAACCCTCTCCATCTCAGCCCGCCTTCCGCTAAACTCCAGCGAGACTAATCGGGATCCAACCGAATTCCCAGGATTATAAGAAAATCGAATCTCGTTAGAAACCTGCAAGAAATTCGGAATCTTCTTCCCATTCTTCAAGTTCACCCCAGACACGATACCCTCCACAGCGTCCCAAAGTTGCCTTCCGGTGAGGTTGATTTCAACGAGAGCATTCCCGAACGGGAAAGCAGTGAGTATTTGTCCGCGGTTTATTTGACCTTTTCCGAAGCCGGCGCGGATGCCCCCGCCGTTGAGTATCGCGCCGGCGAGGTCGGGGGTGTGGGAAATGCAGGACTCGAGCATGGCATCTGAGACGAGGTTGCCTAGGGTGCACTCCTCCGTTAGGCACGGATCGAGGCTGAGTGTTTCCTCTGTGCGGCCCACGACTTCGCGGGAGAACTTTTCGAAGGGGGCGCGCCATTTGGTGATTTGGTCTTGGAGGTCTACGTGTTGGTGGATGGCGTCGGTTAGTTTTATGGGCTCGCCGGCGTAGCTGAGGATGCGGCCAGAGGGGTCGTAGGTTATGGTTATGGAGCCGATGTATTCTCCCCAGCGATAGCTATTCTTCGTCAATATCCCCCAGAGAGAGAATGTGAGTGAGTGAGTGAGTGAGCGAGAGAAGGGTGAGTTCTTACGAGGTAACGATAAACACCTCCTCCCCATCAAGATTCTTTTGGATCGTTGGATACTTCCCCTTAGCCCCCGGCATGTCTCCCAAAAGCGTATGCGAGTGACCTCCTATGATCATATGGATGCCCCTCGTCTTCTGAGCGAGCTCGATGTCCTCCGCGTAACCGATGTGCGTCAAAGCAATGATTCTCTTGATGTCCTCGACTTCTTGGATTACATTCACAGTATTCTGGATCGCGGAAATGGGGTGGTCGAACGTGGTCCCGGCATCCGGGGACGAGGAGTCCGCCGTGGACGGGGTGGTAACGGCTACGACAGCGAGTTTGTGCTCGGGGAAAATCACGTAGGGCACTAGAGCTTGCTGAAGGCCTGTATCGTTTGTTCGGATATTACAGGCTGTTACGGGAAAGTTGAGTTTATTGATCTATCCTTCCCTCCTCTCTTCCTCCGGCGGTCAGTAATTTACTCGAAACCAGACATACATATAGCACATCCACGGTATCCCGGATAGAGATAGATGATATGATAGAGATACTGACGAATTGGACAACCTCCTCATTCCCATCATCAAACTCGTGGTTTCCCAAAGCCATAGCATCAAATC